CAAAACTGTAGTTATTGACTGATCATGAAATATTATTTGTTTGATTTCAGATATATATTTTTCTTTAGACCTCCAACGGTTTACTTTGTCAACTGTTAAATGTATTACTTCGAAACAAATGGAATGAAAAGGATTTAACAAAAAAAGATGTGTTTCTTCAGGTTTAGCTAAGAATAGTTGCGTGTACCTTACTTACCAATCTTGATCTTTATCCTGACGACTGATTCCACCTCTGATGTTCTAGTGGTAGCTCTGCTCCTGATTTTGCATTGTTTGAATGAACTTTAAAACACTGTTCGATTTCTCCATATATTATATCTTATGATACCTAGTGAAATGGTTGGAGGAATTACCTCCCGTCAATTGTTTACATAATAATAGTTAATCGTTGTAAACATAGCATTCAATTGGTAAATTGACAAAAGAATGATACAAGTATAATTGACAATTGATGTCAAGTCAGACAATAAGAATTGCATAGTCAAGAGAACCTCAGTTTGTATTATTTCTTTATTGCAATATATGAAAATTTACCTATATTGATTTCGTTTTTGTACAAAGGGCAGTACAGCGTACGAAATGGTTTCTGCACTTTGGTACATGAACCACTTGGCTGTTTGACATATGCAAGTTGCCGTAGTTATTGACTGAAGAGTAATCGTGACGTCTGGATTAATAGACAATATTGTAACCTGTGTATAGAGTATAGAAGTAAGCGAAGACAAAATGTGTAAGTACAGCAGAGAAAATTGGCTAGAGTACATTGTAGAGTTAGGCAACTGGTAAGCGTAATTAAGATACCAGACAGCTGTCAACGTAAAAGGCTTAGTCAAGAGACGCCAGGCAGGTTGTCATCATAAAAGATCAAGAGGCACCAGGCAAGTGGCTTTTGACCTGTATAGTCAGTCAATTGTTATAAGGCATAAGGCACGTGCCAGTCTTCACCTTGTATATACACGTGTATTTTAGGTCACTATATTTGGAGGCACTAGGCAAATGCCATATCATATCTGTATATTTTGCATTCAATCATACCACCAGTGAAGGTAATCCAAACACGGGACTACTGACTGCTCAGGTTTGACACGTTACACTACAAAATATGAATATTGTGAATTAGGCTTCAACCGTTCTGACCTTTGTTTTTGCAAGAGTGTAAGAGCAGGTCAACTGACAGCAGCATTGTCGATGAAAATGAAATTAACTTATACCTAGTTATTGGTCATTTGCAAAATTATTTTGTTGAAAAACTTTTTGATTGTATAAACAAATAAACACATACTGAGAGACAAAGTTGGTTTGGCTAGTATTCTGTAATTAGCAAATTTTATTAATATTTGAGATACTGTTTCTTAAGGGATGAGAAGAAATCATCAAATACATCGTAGATTCATGTACGTTTTTAAATATTGATTGCATGATTAGAACCTCAGATCGGGCAAGGCCTAGATCCCGCGAACCCTTTAATCGTGATTTGCAGATTAATTATTTTTACTATTAGCAGTTTCATCAAATGAATTAATACCAGTTACTCCTTCCTTCATTTCTGTGAACGAAATTATTTATATAGGTCTAGATCCATGTCATTTCACAATTGATGCTTGAAGTAGGTGCGTGCTCATAGTATAAATTGTTTAGTAAGCATGTGTTTTGGCAATGATTGAAACGAAACATCTTAATTTATTTTGTATTCGAACAAACATATTAAAACTGAAAAAACAAACAGTTGCATTGTGTATATTTTACTATATTTACATTTGCAAATGTTTTCCTTTATATAACACTTCAGAAAGCAAGCGTTTTTATAACTGTATAAATACAGGTACGGGGTCAAGAGGTCATAGATGTGCGTTTGGATAAACGTTCGAAGTAATTTCTCTGTGACGTCATAAAGGGTCGACGCGCGTTTAGTGGATGCCGTTGGGTTTGACAAATAACGCATTTCACACGTTTAAAGTACTGTAAATCCCTTTTTATTCGCGAGAACTTTATTTTCGCGTAATTACGCGAGACAGTGTGCTCGCGAAAATTAAATTCTCGCGTATAAAAGTATTCCTTAAGATTATATAGAACAATAACCACAATTCGTGAAAATTTTGTCTCGCTAATCAAGAGTCAATGACTATCTCGCGAAAATAAGGTGTCGCGAAAATTTAGTAATCTACAGTAACAATCAGGCAAATATAAAGTATGAATAAGTCACACATGTAATTATAAGTAATAAGGTATCATTTTTTGAGTTTTATTGAGATGTAAAACGGGTTGGCACATGATCAAATCTTCGGGGCTTTATGGAATTTGATCACGTGACCAACCCGTTTTACATCTCAATAAAACTCAAAAAATGATACCTTATTTTTAAGTGAAACATTTTAAACACCATATATATTACAAAATTTGCAAAGACTGAGTGTATGTTTAAATTGGTTTATGAATTGTCTTAAATTGAACATTTCATAACTGACTAAGAAAATTGAAATTACTTGGAGTTGAAGAAATTTATACAATGAGTTTACAACAAAATTATAATCGGAAATTGAAGTTTCTTGGAGATTTGAAAGATGTAAGATCTTTTTGGAGTGTGAATATTCTTGGAGTTGAACATTTCAAAACAAAGTTACTTGGATTTGAACTAACCTGATTTTATAAGAAATCAAAACAAGAACAATGCATCATGTTGAAAATACAGTATATCGGAATTATTTGAAAATTACATGAAATTTGCTCCAGATACTGTAGATTTGCAAATATTTTCTATAGACTTTAAAAGCATTTTAAGCGATCTTACATACAGGGATATACTTAACTCTTTCTTGTGCCTTTGCCTTGTGTAGTACAGTCATAAACATTGACAGTAAAAAAGCGAATGTAATTGTTTTAAAATAATTATTGACTAACATGATTTCTCTTTGATTACTGTGATTATTATCTTGTAAATTAAAGTGTTTTAAATATGCTCTGTTGCACATGTATGTTTTCTTCATTACAAAATTCAGCAAGGTTAACAGTAACAATGAGAAAACTCTCCTGACAAACATTAAATGCAAAGACATGTACATTTTTTTAGGAAACTAAACTAAAGAACAAAACTTATCTGAACTACAAAATCTGCATTCAAGAATGGCATTTCCTTAAGGTCATTGTCAAGGCAGGGTTTCCAAAAAAATAATACATAGGTATCTTAACATATAAAACGGTCATTTAGAGTGATCTCCCGTTTGGAATTCTTAGGGCGTGAAAATAAATGAAACGTATGTTATACAGGTAAACAAAAGCACGTTTTTAACGGATAGATAATCAATTATACAGCAAGAAAGAAAAGCACCGATGGCTTTGTTGTACATTGTGTACACAAAAAGGGACAGACAGTCAACAGGTCGTCATTTATCATAGTTATGCTCGAAAGGGCAAAAATGTGACATGCTAAAAGTTTTGAAAGCTAAGCATTTCTATAGGTCATGTGATGGAGGCGCTGTTTAGAAACTACGAATAAAAGTAAAATAAAACTATGCAAAATAATGTATTTATGACAATTTGTTTCCAATGACGTAAACCACATAATAGAAACTCTTGATCATTATGAATAAAAATTCGATGTCAAGTGAAGTAACTCAAAGTTATGGATCAGTGCTGGAATTAATCTCTCTTGTTTCTATAATTGCATTTTCAGCCAAAATATAAAGATACTAAATGCTGACATGAGACAGTGCCTCTAAATACACACTCCTTTGTACTGGGCTCTCCATGGAAAAAGTCAAAATTATTCTATAATTATCACGGTACATTTATTCGTCAAATTGAGCATAACATTTTCAGGTGACCATGTGATATATGAGCCTCATATATGTATTTTGTATAAGCCAGGAACGTTGCCAGTGTCCTTAACAAAACTTGAAATATTTTAATTAATTATCTGAAAGATTGACTCCTACTGCATACATATTGTAGAGTTCTACACAATTTTACATATTATTGTCTGAAAGATTATTACTGCTTTACATAGATTTAAAAACATAGCACTGTAGCTTGTGACCTTAGAGCCCGGCTTTCAGTACCTTCAGTACTTTGATTAACTTTTGGATATCAACTCCTCCAACAGGTTCTCGAAATTCCCATAGTACCTATTGCGCTGCGTTACAAGCAGACTTATTTTTGCATTCATGTGTCATTTCGCAAATTCTTTGGTCGATATAATTATTTTGTCAGGAAATACAATCAATTTTTAAGATGAATGCTAATTGACGTTTTCATTACAATTGTTAGGCTTTTATTTTCACACTGAGTTTTCTTCCGATTTATCCGTTTACCCGATCATGACAATACCCACACGACGGATGTATCCAGATGACAGGGGATAATAACCACACGACGGATGTATCCAGATGACAGGGGATGCTAACTCCTCCTTGACAGTATGTATGTTCTGAACCACACGACTGAAGTATCCGGATGACAGTGGATGCTAACTCCTCCTTGACAGTATGTATGTTCTGAACCACACGACGGATGTATCCGGATGACAGTGGATGCTAACTCCTCCTTGACAGTATGTATGTTCTGAACCACACGACTGATGTATCCGGATGACAGGGGATGCTAACTCCTCCTTGACAGTATGTATGTTCTGATGTTAAGATTTGCTTTCTAAAGATCATTAAAATGTTTACGTTTTTTAATCTTCTTTCTTCCCCTGTACATTTAGCAGACAAACTAAGTTCATACGTGTAGTTATAATAAGCAAGTTAAGAGTACTGTTTCCAAAAAATGTGCTATTCAGAAACTATTTAGATTTCCATTCCTATTTATTTATTTTTCCCTAGCCATTTATTTCTCTTGTTTTTGAGCAACATACATTTCTCTTTTGAGTTATTTTATTTTATCACATAACTCATGATGATTTGTATAGGAAACTGTGTTACATGTATTTAAAAAACTATTATCTTAAGATGCCTTTTCAGGCCTTGTCTGTAGTCTTTTTAAGATTAAAAATGATAAAACCCATTTCAATTATGCTTTATTTGAATATTATTAAAATAAATTGTATAAAAATGTGCCTTTTATCCGAATATGTACATGTTGTAAAAATACTTCCATTTTGATGTAAGACGACCAGGGGCAGATGCAACATATGGTTTCTTTCGATCAGATACAACAGCTCGCATGCACACATCAGCACGGCTAAACCTCGCCATCTGATGTAAAACCCACCTCGCTGGCCAGGCGATGTGTATCAAATTATAAAGAAACGTTGTCTCCGTTGTAAGTGAATCCAATTTCCCCTTATAAAAGTTTATGTCAATTTTGCTATTTTCCTTTGGTACACTTGATGTTATAATATTTCTGTTCTCTTTCTCCAAGTACTTGTCCCCTCCACAAAGTTTAAAAGTATGTCCGTTCTGCCCAGTCCACGATTCTTCCATTTTGTCGTAGACTATGACAACCCAATCCCTCCAGTAATATTTCTCAGAGTAAAACTTGTACAACCGCTTAGCGAATTGTTCATGATTATCGTCTTTGTACTGTGCCGAAAGGTCTTTCATGTCTTTGAATTTCTGACTTTCATAATTACTAGTAACTTGTTCATCCACTTCTTTTACCTTCTGTAGAACGTTCTTGATGTTGGTTTCCCATTCTTTTTGCTCCATTTTGTAGCTTGCTGTTCTGTTTGTTAGCTTCAGATAAGCTAGGTTGACCTTCACGGCTGTCAAAAGAAGCCCGACACATCCAGCCATTACCTTCTGCATCTTCTTGCGATCATTATTTGTGTATTCCATTGCTGTTATTGGAATATTGTCTGTGAAAGATTGTTTGGTCATGATCCCATTGTATATCTTTCTAGCTGCGTTAAGATAACTGGTTCTAAAGGAGGTTATAAATCGATCTTTCTGGCCTCCAACTGCATCTTTAGGGGCTTTCATAAGCATGTGAAGCCGATCCGACAAAGCGTTGACGTTCTGTTCTATTTCAGAAAACTGTGCATTGATTGACTTTGCTTTGATAAGATTTGTAACTTTTCCAAAAAGTCTTTCCACATTTCTGAAATTGGAATCCACCCTCGAAAATTCTTTTTTCAATAAAGACAGAGTTTTATCCTCTTGTTTTGGAAGAAACAAGGTGATTATGTCCATGAGTGGACCAATGGCTGCCAAAAAAGGAGCGATCTTGCTCATGATTGTAGTAAACTTCGCAAGCACCTTCACACCCGTTACAATTTTCGTAATGGCATCGGTAGCCGCGATTCCTGTTTTTACAGCATCTGATGCCTTTTTGACGTCATCTCCTAAGTCAGCATGAAGATCGGAGATAAGAAAGAACAGGAACAAAGGCAGAGACAAGCGGACAATCAGCATGCTTGTAGGCCAGAGGTTAGTTGCACAATAATAGTTAATCTGAAAACAAAACAAAAAAGATCGTATGACTTATAAATACTCACAAGAAATTACTTGTGCTTTATCAATTATTTATTTCGAATGATGTTTGCTTTGTTCCATCCTATTGCACTTACAACTCTTGTAAGCCTGAAAGATAAGTTTGTGTTTTGTCCATTAAATTATATTCATATATTAGTATATCTGTTAATCAAATCATTTTAACCAATTTTTCAAATCATTTGTATTCAGTGGAAATAATTTTTAAATTTAAATTCAGACACATATATAATCAAAATACTGAAGACTTATGAATTTTCCTAGAAATAGATTTTTAAATAATACATTTTTGTATTTCTAAATTATTAAGATTTTTATTTTGATAATTTTTACACATCTTATGTGAAATTAGGCATAGAAAATTGTAGAAATTGTTATAGATGATTGTCAAAATTGTGAATGGATCATCTTTTCTTGAAGTTTGGGCAAATTCTCCTCCTTAGTTATCAATGACACCAGTCTTGCTTTTTAGTCAATTTATTTTACTTAAGTTTAAACTACATGTACTAAAAGACAAGTATTCATATTTACATATTTCATTGTAAAGAAACATTCTTGTTTACAAATCCGAAAAAATTCACATATAAGTAATTAAAGGTTACAAAAATATCAGCAGTTACATACTTCTAATTAAATATTAAGGATAATGAAATTTGTTAGCGTCGACGACCAATGTTGTTAGTTTGGAGATGGGATAGAAGGGAGACTGAAAGGACTTACCTCTATGTATACCAGCAAGTACAAAACCCGTCCTTGCTGATATTTTCACCAACTTATATTTATACCTGAGTCATTTTGATGTATTTTTCAAATGTTTCAAAAGCTTTGTTTAACTTCCGTCAAGAAGCTGTTGTAGGGGCATTATTACCAGAAAACAAATTATATTTGCTACCATTTATTGGAAGATCATCTTTCAAACAATGTAACATTTTATACATACAAACCGTAGTGAAATCGCTTCAGGTGAAGCAAGATAAATTACTAGAAATTGCTAGTTGTACCTTAATGGTATACACTCTGAACTCATCTTCAATTAATTATCTTTGTCAAATAGTTTTTGTTTATAAAAAGCACCTGAGTAAATATTGATAAGTAATTTAATTTGTAAAATATATAGCCCCGATATCCTTCAATATCAATTTTCCTAGCTTTCGGGAAGTCCCCGCGTATACATGTATGTTGCCATTTAATTAAGGTCTTCCGCTCAGGCGGAAGACCTTCTACTGATTCTGATGGTTAAGATTATTCCTATTATTCTTTTTTTTTTTCCTAGACGCCAACTTTAAGACCTCGTAACTCGCTCATTTCTTAACGGATTTCGCTCAAATTTTCAGAGTTTTTGGACGTTACAAAACTCAATTTAAATGTTTTCATACATTTCATACTTCCGCTTTTGAGTTATTTTCCCTTTAAATGAAAATTTGGTGCTGTTTGTTTCCAGACAAAGGCTCAGAAACGACAAAAGCTGGAGCAGAATGTCTACTGCATTTAAATACTAGAAGAATTGAAGTTGTGCACATCGGTTTTTCTTTTTCGATTTCTGCGCTCAAAACGGTGCTAGATAGGGGTCAAAAATAAGAATGCCTAAAAGCGCAAAAATTTACATATATTTCCTTATGTATCTTTTAAACTAAAAATAATTTGTTAAGACATGTTTCACAAATATTGTGCATAATTTTAAGATCTATCATTTGACATCATTGAAAAGGGGCTTGCCCCTCAAATTAGGGGCCAAGGGCGCTCGAAAGTTTTTGGTTTATAACTTAAAAACGGTAAATATTTCGATATGGTTATCGATTTGCAATGGGTTCTTTAGCATCTTATTGATCTCATGAATACGTTATTTTGTTCTAGTCATGTTTTATTAGATGAGCAGAAAACTTTAGTCCGTGTACAGGTAAGTGATTTTATACGGCAAGTGAAGAAGAATTCTATATGCGTACGCGTATAACACGTATGACTGAAATTAACTGGATAAGAATAATATATACCTAGCTAAATTGAATGTTAAACTTTGTTGAAATAAGATTTTTAACGTATTCTCTAGCTGGGTGTCATACAGATTATTCAGAGACAACTTTCTCCCTGTGTTTAGTGTAAAGAACAAGACGGGAGAGAGGAAAAATATTTTTAAGTATCAATATTCAATGAAGCATTATTTATTTAAAAAAAAAATTCAAGCTTAAGATAATTCACTGTCATTCAATTCATGCATCGTGAATTTTCCTCGGACCCTGAAAGTTTCGTGTGTACACTAACAGTGTGCGTGTTTTGTGTGTACAGTTATCACATGGTTATAAAACCCGTTTATCGATCGCGCATTGAACTTTTACATTCATGAGTTCAACATTACCGCTCTTTGATTTTTACTAGAGTCCTAGATTTAAGATCAAGAAAAAATGTCATTTGCGATAATTGTAAGAATATTTCTATACACAAATTTTAAGGTTTTCTTGAACATGATTTAAAAGTGTTGAATGTCGGATTCTATTCTTTGACGAATGAATAGAAGAGGCTGCGTTTACACGCGCTTTTCTCATCTGCTGAGGTATCTATGGACGAGTTCATCGGTTACACTGAAGGGTGACACAGGACGACCTATCGATAACTCTGCCAATTTTGATAGTGATTTTAATTGCACATGTACCATAAACATGATAAATTAATGTTCAATTCTACCCTTGTGAAGTCCATTATAGTCTCATTATTTAAAAAAAAATTGGGGATATCAATACTGCAACTTGTTTTTGATTTGTGCGGATGATTCTATTATTGGAAAGGTACACACGTAGTACGACGATTTTTTAGGCCCCGTCTCCCCCTCCACTTTGAAGTAATTGCAATCGTTACATGTATACGGGCCTATATCAAGTTATTCTAATTGCTTTATATCAGAAAAATTTGCGACGTTGTTTAAATTAGCAAATACCTATAAACATTGCACAGTAAATTGTAAGTGGAAGTGACGTTTCCAATTCTCATGAAAATCGTAAATGAAGCAACTTTGAGATTTGCATGAATTGATACATAACTTATAATTGCATTGTACCGAATGTATTCCTTTTATTTCTTCGAATAAAAAGAATATCACTATGACACGATTTTACGGGTACATGATGGTAACTAAATACATGCTGTTTTACACGGAAGAGCCCCCCCCCCCCCCCCATATATATACATTCCGAGCTTTCAGAATACGAGAGAAAATAAATGAATAATTAGAAATTTTTTTTAACAAATTCAAAATTGTTTCTGAGAAAGCCATGTAGTTGCATACAAATATTCCAAGCCATTCTTTCGTGTTTATTGGACTAAAAGAGACAATTAAATCTCCTCTCATCGCGATACGTAACCCCCTTTCCCTCAAATGATACGTTTTCCTTCAGAGTCGAGAATGTCAGTTGGTTAGTTTGTTCAGGTACGTACAGGTCAGGACTGGTGTTGAAATCCATGATTAATCCATAACCTATTATAATGTTAACCAACAATCATACGCGACTTTTTTTTTCTTCACAGGTCGTCAAATAAATGAAAAAAAGATTAGTATGCGTCACTAAACTTTCCTATATATAAACGTTTTAATTTCTAAAATTTGTGCCGATTAAAGTGTTCATTCGAGCATCGAAGTGTATACATGTATTAGTTTCTTTGGTTAAGGGGGGGGGGGGGGTTACAGTTTTTACTGCGTTTGATTTCCGGAATTTTGCAATGCTTTTCCGACACTTAATAATTTCATTTCTAACATTCATTTTTTTCATTCTGGATTTTTACACTATATTTCAAGCAATTTAAAGTTAACAAAGAAGATGGAATCATTATTTTAATAGAATATATTTGGATAAATTAGCACAAGTGAACTTGTGATGAAAATTTATTAAACGAAAGTCAAGCAATAAAAAATTAAAGTTTGTTTTTTGAAAAATAAATCAAATCAAGTCACAGAAAACAAAGACAGGTTGTAAAGCTCACACACCGACACACACACAAACGTTTTGGTAACTCGGAATAGTCCAGAGTAAAACTATATTTTCTTGATGACGGAATGTCCTGTACATCTAATGTTCACGTCCGGAATAGTCCACGGCGGATCTAAAAACTCTCTCACACAACATACGGGATTCACTCAAATTTCAATTAACACATTTACGCAATTTATATCATACATACAAGTCAGACGCTCTTTGATGTAGAGGATTGACACTAATTCCTTAGATAAATACTTAGTGACAAATTCCTTTTTATTATTTAAACTCAAATTGATAGGTTAATAACTTAAGCATATGTCAAAAATAAGCATTAAAAATAATTCTTTTCATAAAATTAAATTTTGTTTAAACAATATAAATCACTAGCAGCGCAAAGACAGACTTTTAAAAAAAAAACAGAGGTGAAAACAGGCGAATTAAATCCTTTTATGGCACCACCAACCCCGTAACGAGACATCTCATCGAAATGACCGGTCTCCGCGTCTTGAACCTCCAAGAATATGTATTGCATGTTCTTGAAAAATTTGTATTAATAAGTCTTTAAGGAAATCTCATGTAGGAAACCTGATTTATATTCTAATATATTCTATTGTGTAATTTTTTTTAATTATTCGTACTTCTCAATCTATCATGTTCAAATTACATGTATTTATTTTTTTGGGAACATTAAACCTTATTCGTCAGCCAGTCTGTCCATCTGTCACGAAAACTTTAAACTTGATAATAAGTATTGAATGAGTTGAAATAGGACTTTGATATTTCACGTGTGCATTATTTGTGACATCTGATTTTCAAATATACTGTGATTTTTGACCCTGTGACCTTGATCTTGGAGCTTGACCTACTTAAAAAAAATAACATTACTTTAAATTGACCATAACTTTTGAAAGCTTCCATTTTATAAAAATGTATTAACTGTGACAACACCTTTTAAAATTCACTAATTTTTTACCCTTTGACCTTGAAGTTTGACGTGCTTTTCAAAAACATTAACAATACTCATACCTTTTGACTGAGAAGAGATAGGGCTTTTATTTTATCCCTATGAATTACCTATGACAACTCTTTTCTAAAAACACTGACTTTTGACAACTTGACCTTGAGGCTTGATCATAACTTTTTTAATGAGGAGAGATAGGGCTTTCATATTACACAAACATCACAATGTCATGTACGTAACCTGTGATAAAATCATATCAAAAACTAGTATATCATGAACTTTGACCCTGAAGTTTATCCGGCTTTTCCAAAATTTAAACATTGCTTAAAATTGACCATAACTTTTTACACATGTATATTAGCTGTGACAAGGCCTATCTAAAAAAAGGTATGGCTTAAATCATGGAGAGTGTGTTATGACCTTAAATCAAGGTCATTTAGGATAAGATATTTTGACTGGATGCATTGTTTGAAAAAAACATGTGTGAATTTGTCAATACAGTAGCACACAAATGGGGTATGCTCATCACCATCTTGTGTCATGGTGTGACCCAAGGTCATTTTGACAAGGTCAAGGTCGCAAACATTCCTTTACTATCACTTTTTTAATAGTAAAACATAATAAGATGATATCTACCCTTAAAAGATTGCTTTATCATTAGAACGTGGCATGACCTTGACTCAAGGTCATTTCTCTCTGTCCGTAGCTCCGACGGAAGACCTACTCGTTGCTTTGCAACGAGCTCGGCTCTAGTTTTATATGTATGTCTCGTCTTCACAAAATGGATCCTACATAGGAAAGTCTTCATATTTTTT